CTACGGGAGCTTGCCATTGGAATGGAGAGATGAGAGACTATGAAATGGAGAAAAACAGAAAGTGGAAGGGGAAGAAAGAAAAGAATGGATAAATAAAAGTCAGAAAGGTTAAAGAACCTCAAAGTTCCCAGGGATCCCACCGATGCAGCTTTGAGGTCTGGTGGAGTCGCTCTCAGGTGTTGCAGTACAGCCTGGCTAGAAGGTGTAGAGGTATATACAACACCTGGTATTCAGGGATCAGAAAGAGAAGGAAGATATAGAGAGACAAGAAACTGGGCAACGAAGAAAGACAAAAAGGGAAAAAGAGGGAAAAGAAAACAAAACAAATTAAAAAAAAAAAAAGAACAAGAAAGACCCCCCAAAAAAACAGAAAAAAAAAAAAAGAACGAGAAAAGAAATGCCCTGAGGGATCCCTCTGCACGTCTGTGGAAGCTGAAGGGGAGTTCCTTGCCACGCAGCTCCACCTGGCCAGAAAGTGTTCCCAACTCAAGAAAAGGAAAACAAACAAACAATTCAAAATGAACAAATGAACAAAATCCCCGGGATCCCACCAGCACGGTAGCCCAGACCAGGAAGCAGCTCCACACTCGAATGGAGCTCCGCAGCCCCTCAGGAAGAAGCAAAGATGGCGCACGGAGCCAGGCACTCGAGCGAAAGGAGGGGGAGGTGGCGAGAGGCAAGCAAGAAATCAAAAGAAGCAGGAAAAAAAAAAAGCAACACCAATAGCCAACAAATGGCACTCAGAGAGCCAGCTAGTGTGGGCTGGTGTTTCGCGACAAGAGACTGTGTCCGCGGGAAGCAGAGGAGGCCGAGTGTGGGTAAAGAAGGGTAGAGAGTGGGAAAGCATATATCACAGATTACTGGAGCTCTGCAGCCCCTCAGGAAGAAGCAAAGTTGGCGCATGGATCCAGGCACTCGAGTGAAAGGAGGGGGAGGTGGCGAGAGGCAAGTGAGAAATCAAAAGAAGCAGGAAAAAAAAAGCAACGCTAGCAGCCAACAAATGGCATCCAGAGAGCCGCCCACTTGGGTGTGTGGAATCCAAGCAGCCGGAGCTTCCCGGTCAAGAGACCATGGCCACGGGAAGCAGAGGAGGCCGAGCCAGGGCGAAGAGGGGTGGGGGGTGGGAAAGCGCACACCGCAAATTACCGGTTGTTTGTCTCCCGCTGGACACTCCGTGAGGCTCCTTTCTCGTACCCCCGTTTGCTGGTCTCCGACAGGAGTCCAAGATGGTGGATCTGTGCTGCGTACGCTGGTAGGGGACCTCTGCATGAATCTCTCCTCGCTCTCCGTTCTCTGTCAGTTTTCTCACTCCATTTGGTGCTTGGCTGAGTTCTTTATCTCTTCATTTGATGTTTTAGGGTTTCAGGATTGTTGTGTTCTCTGTTCAGCTTAGTTTTTCAGATCTTTGCTGTGGAGGGACGGCATGGTGCTTCTGCCTAGAGCGCCATTTTGCCAGAACTCTGGTTCCTGTTTTTTTCTTGAAGGAGATTAGCTTGAACTGAGGTGGCCCAGTACTATCTCTAGGCCAGAAGAATTAGAAAATTAACAATTATCTTTAAAATATGAACATACTGATTGTACCTCCTTACCTATATACTGGAGCCCTGGTGGCTCAGTGGTTAAGATCTATGGCTGCTAACCAAAAGGTCAGCAGTTCAAATCCACCAGCTGCTCCTTGGAAACCCTATGGGGCAGTTCTACTCTGTCTTATACGGTCACTATGAGTTGAAATCGACTCAACAGCAACAGGTACTGGTACCTATATAACAGTTAAGATTTCTTTCCGTTTTTGCAATCTCATTAGTGGATTGTGTGTGTTGCATCACATTCTGGTTTAATGCTTACTCAATAATCAAACTTTCTTTTCCTCTTAAAAAAAATTGATTCCAAAGAATATGTTCCTCCTTTCGCATGTACTAACATGTTTTTGCTTTTTTAAGATGAAATGATAGTAATATGAATGAAAGTTATTCTTGAAAATGGCCTTCCTTAGCAGGGTGAAAGTTGACAATAGTATTGTAGTCAAAAGTTTTATTTTCAAATGTTACTAGTCTGTAAAATCCCAAGGGGGGCGTGTGGGTCAGTGGTAGAATTCTCTCCTTCCATGCAGGAGACTCGGGTTTGATTCTCGGCCAGCGCACCTGATGTGTAGCTTCCCTCTCCCCTGTCTGTCAGTGGAGGCTTGTTGTGTGGCTGTGATGTTGAATAGGTTTCAGTGGAGCTTTCAGACTAAGATGGACTAGGAAGAAAGGCCAGGCGATCTGCTTCTGAAAATCAGCCCGTGAAAACCCTATGGATCACAACAGTCCAATCCACAACCGATCATGAGGATGGTGCAGGACCTGGCAGTGTTTCATTCCATCGTGCATGGGATCGCCACGAGTTGGGGGCCGACTCAATAACAAAGTCTGGGACTTCTAACCTGGTTCACCCCCCTCCCCTGCCCTCCCCCTTGAGGAGAGGAGGAAATTGAGGCCAGAGACGGACCCCTTGCAAGCTTTGCCCAAGGCCCCAGAGCAAGTTAGCAGGAAGGGCCTGAGACAGGTCTCCCCACCTCTGGCTGGCCTTTTTCCTAGCAACTTGGTTATGCTGGCCGCGAATTGCCTTCCAATATTCTGCCCCAGTGTTAGACCACGTGGCCCAGTTTTGGGGTTTGGAAGTGAAAGTACATAACTGTAGTGTGTGTGGTTCCTATCCTGAAGTCGAATGGCATCATGAGGTCATCTCCACTTGCACCCGGCAAACACAGATGCTGAGTGTCTTTATCCAAGCTGCTCTCCTGAGAGAACCTGGCACCTCCAGCCAATTATCTGAAACCACTCTCCTCATCAAAGCAGCTTTATCTCATCTAAAAGCCTATTAATGACTTTACAGTAGCTAAATGTGGAGGTGGTGGCACATCCATTTGTGAACCATTTGAGCAATGATTCCTCCTTCCCAATAAAATGGAGTCCCCAGGTAGTGCAAACTTAACATGCTCGGCTGCCGACCGAAAGTTTGGAAGTTTGAGTCCACCCAGAGGCACCTCGGAAGAAAGTCCTGGTGATCCACTTCCGAAAAACCAGCCATTGAAAACCCTAGGGAGCACAGTTCTACTCTGACACACATGGGGTCCCCATGAGTCAGAATCTACTCGGTGGCAACTGGACCCCGATGAAATAGGGCTTTTTTTTTTTTATTTTGGAATGAGTGTGGAGGCCCTAATGACACTATTGTGAAAGAAATCTCAACCAACCTTTAGTACATTAGGAGAGCTGTTCAGTTTTATAAAGACAGACATTGAATTGTGCTTGGTGTGACTCCTCTAAAATTAGCACTTTACGGGGCTGCTCTAGGTAGAGAGCAATAGTTACTTGAGCAGATAAGAGGGGGCACACATGATGTTACATTAACAAACGTTTCTACCACCACCTGGTGGAAAAGTGATTCCCTTTTTACTTCTCCTTCAGTCCTTCTGATTTCATAAAAGAAGTCTTAATTTGGGGCTAGCATGACTAACTCCTATGGCAAGAGCAGGTCTCAGGCTTTGAACATTCTTTGGGCACGAGGGTCCGGCTACAGTTTCATAACATTGGTTTCGTTTCACTGTATTTATCTTTACAGTTACTGGCTAGGCATAGCAAGCAACACAGGTGCTTTCATTTACAGTGCTGATATAAAACCCAGAACCGAACCCACTGCTGTCGAGTCGATTCCAACTCACAGGAACGGTATAGGACAGAGTAGAACTGCCCCGTAGGGTTTCCAAGGCTGTAAATCTTTACGGAAGCAGATTGCCACGTCTTTCTCCCACGGAGCAGGCTGGGGGGTTCGAACCGCCGACCTTTATGGTTGGCAGCTGAGCGTTTTAACCACTGTGCCACCAGGGCTCTTTAGTGATACAGTTTCCTTTAAAAGTAGATTTCTTCTCGATAAAAGTGAGTCAATTTAAAGAAGACAATTTTAGTAAGTAACAAGGCAGGTACGGGTTATGGCCCAATTCCTGAAGGTAGTGGCAGAGGTCTGTGGTTTGGGACTGATGAGTTCATCAAGGGCTCCCCGACTCCTGGCACTGCTGTTATCTAACCCTTATTGGGTCTATTGTAATGATTTGTTTGCTTATTGGGTCTATTGTAATGATTTGTTTGCTTATCGGGTCTGTTGTAATGATTTGATTGCATGTCGCTGTTTTCAAGGGCAGCAGGGAATATATTTCTAATGCCAAGCACAGTGCCTGCACCAAAGAAGTGCTCAAAGTTTAATGAACAAAGAAGGATAATTCACGGCTATGGGTTTATGTTTGACTACTAACCTGAAGGTTGGTAGTTCAAACCACTCAGTGGTACTGTGGAAAAAAGTCCTGGCGATCTGCTTCTCTTAAGATTACAGCCAAGAAAACCCTGTGGAGCAGTTCTGTTCCGTAACACATGGGGGTCACCATAAGTCAGAATTGACTCTACGGCAACAGGTTTTTTTTTTTTTTTTCTCACTCAGTTCTCACAGCAACTCCATGTGGCATGGAGAGCAAGGATGTTATTCCCATTTAACAGATGAGACGACTGAGTCACGGATTCAGAAGCCAGCTCAAGTTCATGCAGTAAATTAGAGGCTGGGCTTGTGGGCTGAGCCTGAGTGTGTCGCTGAGTCCACGGTTCTCTCCCCCATGGTGTCAGGGTGCATAGGAGGGGTTACTTGTGGTTTAGTGAGGGAAAGGAGACAGTGTCAGTCTGAGTCCTGCCTCTGTGGACATAACAGCCTGCCACAGACTAAGAACTATCTTTGCTGGAGAGAAAGTGGCTCAGGAGACCTTGGTGGGGACATCTGGGGAGCCTTGACCAGTACCCGAAGACCCTTGATGGATGCTTCTGGCTGGAATTGGGGCCCAGGCTGCAAGGTTGTTGGGAATTTGGAGCAGGTGGAAGCCAGGGCTTCCTGGAGGAAAGGAGAGCGTGTGCTAGAGTTTCAGGCTCCATGTTGGGTTGCACTTGATGACACCACCCACCTCTATCTTTGTTTTCCAGAGTCAGCCTTGCTGCTCTTCCTGGCCATGCCCATGCTAACCATGGGCGGAATCCTGTTTCTGATCACCAACCTACAGGTGCGATTCTGTCCTAACACCTGGCTTTTGGTCAGGGTTGGGGGAGGATGGAGGGGAGAGTAGAGAGGATACAGGACAGGGGAGGATGGAGAGGATGGAGAGGAGGGTGAGAGGACGGAGGGAGGGTGAGAGGATGGAGGG